ATTCCTTAAATTAAAATTAATATTTAATTTAAATTATAAATTTGTATTTTCTCATCAAAAAATATCCAAATTACTGAAGTTTCTTATTAAATCTCATTTTTATTCTAATACAATAAGTTGCATTTCCACTTATAAGTCTCCATCTGGGACATTCTGTACATGTACTGAAAATCAGAAAGGACATTCATCCACTAATAGAAAATTTAAATTAATCAACCTATACATACCACAGAATGTATAGCTTATAATAAAAATAGTCTGTCTACAAAGAAAAATAAATTAAAATCATTAATAATAAAATAAAATATTGTTTAACTTATAACAGATGAATATAAGCTTAATATAACATAGTTAAAGTAAAAAAGCATATCATCAAAAGTTTTCTTGATATTATAAAGTTATTCTGTAGTGTCATATGATAACATCTTGATCACAAGAGATTCAGACAATAGGCTTCTTGTACAGTTTTGTTTTCCAAACATAGCTAACAGTGTGACCAGTGTTGATCCAAGTTTCATCAAAATAATAAATTTTTCCTCTAATGTCATCATTGCTTATTTTCTGAAGATAGAAATGAACCACTGAGATTCTGTGGTTTCAAAAAGGAGGACATTAATTTCTTTTTACATATACAAAGTCCCAAACTCCTTTATCAGATGTTTCACAGAAGTTTGGCCTAAATTTGGCAAATCATGATCAGAACTTTTTGCAGACATTACCTTTTTACAGTAGAGATTTCACCTATAATAAAGAACTCGTGAATCATTCTGCAAACGACTTCTCTGTCAAAGGAATCGAAGTTATGATGAGGCTTCCGATTTTTCTGTTTTTTGTTCAAAAAGGATAACTTAGGCAATTCCTAGCTTTCATCTTCAGTTTTGTTCCATTCACTTTTTACTTTCAATACTGTTTAACAGAAAACTTCGATCGAGTCTGAAACCTATTTGGCACGTCCATTCAGAGTTCTTGCTATGTATCTTTGAATATGTATTTGAAATAATTTGCAAACACATTTCATTAACAGATTTTCCATTTTCATGTTTCCAATATTAATTCTTTAGATTCACCCAAATCCCTACTAACATCATGTTTTAAATATGTTGAATTCACCATTTTTCACAATTTTTCATTACAGTAGACTCTTGATAAGTCAAATTTCTTTAACTCAAATTTTATTTTTGTCTCTACTAAACTACTCCTACAGATTTAATGCATTCTGTGTTTCTATAAGACAAAGTAGTTTTGAGATCACATTCTGTTAACTCAAAATTTAAGATCTGGAAACTTGTATTTCATGCCTAATTTTGTGCACTTTCTTTTGCACTTTAAAAAGAATATATTATCATGAAGTTGAAGGCAAGTATTATGTACACTTACACCTTTGATTGCACAGTATTAAATTTAAAATTTTGGTAAAGTTTTGTACCTAAAGTAATAAATTTACTCTTACACAAAAATTGACCAATCAAATGTTTAATGCTTTAAAATAGTTACTTTTAAAATTTTAAAAAGGAACAAACATATTTGTGATTTGACAACTTAAAGAGTTATTGACCAATCAAATTTATGAGTTTGTCTATATCATCTTTATTCAGAACTAAACATTACAATGAAATTTATATACAGTATGAAAATTTGAATTGTATGTTGATATTTTCATTGCTAATATTTAAACCATATCCTAATAAATAATCAATCAATTTTATGCAAAAAGAAAAAATTCTTACAAATGCTTTCATCTAGTAAAATAGAATGTTTTTCCTTATTAGTTATTTGTTCAATATCGTTGAAACCTGAAGATGTCTATTTCACATAGACAAAAACGTTTCTTTTTATGTGAAATTGATTCATTGCTAATAATGGCCAATTAACCAGTGTATTTCTACAGTTCATAAACTGGTTTAAAAGATTTATTTAGACTCTAGACCAGGAATGGTCAACAGTTTTTGTCCCTGGGCCAAATTGGAAAGAAAACTTTTTCCACGGGCCGAACCAAAGGCTGCCCTAGGAAGATTTTGAGGTGGTGTGAGATCTCATTGCAGTGTCACTCCATAGAGACTAAATTGTACGTAGAGATTACAGATACATTTTTCACATCATCATGCTTTATCAACATTCTACACTGTACTTAAGAGATCTGGAAAAACTTTAAATGCACAGTGAGTTGTTGACTTTTTTTTTTTTTTTTAGGCATCAGAATTTTTCATCGAGCTATTTGGACTTCAGTAGCTAATATTGAAAGATTGATCGCGGGCCACATAAATTCATTAGACGAGCCGGATCTGGCCCACGGGCTGTATGTTGGCCATGCCTGCTCTAGACAAATCTCATAAAACTCTAGACTCTAAAGTAATGTTAAAAAGTAATGGTTTTAGTGCTGCAAAACAGAGTACATTACTTTTTAACATTACATTACATAAACATTTGGCATGAAGTGCATTTAATTTTCTTATTACAAGTTTGTACAAAAACTCTCCAAAATAAATAATACTGATGGTAAAGGCTTATTTTCAATTTATTTTTTGGCTGTTTGCACAGCAATCATCAGAATACTTCAAGCAGAATACAAACTTAAAAATTAAATGTTTTTCCACTAAATTTAGGATAAGGGGAAAAGAAAAAATCATTGGGAAAGGTTGACTCTCAGAATCAGCATCAGCCAATAGACTTATAATCTTCCAAATTTCATTATTGAATGTAATATTCAAATAAACAGAACAAACAGCTTAAGATACACTTGGTAGAGAGACTGCCTTAAGGTAATATTAGTAATATTAAAAATTATTTTTGACTTTATAAACAAAAAAAAATGTTTTAATATTATTGAAAGAAAATGATCTTAATTATATCTTTGATTTGTGCAAAATTTAATTATTTCATTTTGTTACCTATTTAAACTCTTCTACATTGTTTTGTAATGAAAAGAGACAAGAGTCTGATGGATACACAAGACTGGAATGAGACACGCAAGAGAGGATGCATCTCAAATACCAAAAAAATAATAAAAATTAAAGATTAAAAGTCAAATATATAAAAAATTTACCAAAATGGGTGACAAAGCAAAAACTAACAAATTTATCCTAAATATTAACATGCTATTATTAAGAAGAAAATCTGACAGCATATAACAAAATGGATATAAATAAACTCTCTTTGTAATATAACTCTCTTAAAATTTACTTCAAATTTTCGAAATTTGACTTAATTGATATACTTACAATTTAACAAATTAAAAAAAAAACAGTGAAACTTATATGTTTTTTTTGAATTGGGAAAAAGACTCATGGCTTACGTCCTACATTCATCAACTGACATCGTCCATAAGAGAAATGGAGAAATGTACTGTATGAAAATTAGAATTTATATAAACACTTATTATTACTACCTTTCACTTTTTTCAAATCTCTAAACTAAAACAAACGACCTAATTAATTCTAAAAGATTTCCAAAAATAAATTGAAAAATATCCATTACACTTTTTTTGTCCATTTCAATAAAAAGAGTAAATGATTAATTGATTTATGAAACTGTAAATCGATTAAGTTAAGCCATACTAGTACCAAATAAGCAAAAAGGGTAACAAAGTAAATAAGCAAGCTTAATAATACTTTTATGCAAGACGAATCAACTTAATGCTAATGTGCTAATTTTAATATTGATGCTGAAAACTTTACATAGAGTAATGTATCATAATAATACTATATTTTCTTTACTAAAATTGTTTTCATCGATTTAAAAAATAACTCAATTATTATTTCTTTTAGTTTAATACAAAAATGAAAACTCGACAAACAGACAATTTATACATTCAGACACTTCCCTACTTTTCCTACCAATCGACACATCACGTCATTTAAATTTACAAGCAACTCAAAGATTATTATAACGTTCTTACATAATATAATTATATTTAACCGATAAGGTTTATACATTACATAATATCATTGCATAACACTACTTAATTGTTTCTAATAGTTAATAAGCAGCTAGTATCATGCAACAAATATCAATTAAAGATAACCAAAAGCATTTTATTTAATGAACTGTATAATCAATAGTTTTTTGTAATTTCCAACAGATTGTGTGAACTTTTTAATCTGTACACATCATCAAAAATTTAATAAGCCAAGTTATTACTTGAAAAAGCACTAAAAATTAAAACAAATCTAAATATAATAGCTGTTCAAACAATATAGAAGATGTATTTTCCAATTTGCAACCAAGTATCGTTACTCCGTAAAGCACGGAAACGATTCTAAGCTCGGTTTTAACCAGAATTATATACAGGGACGTCAATAGGTCGTCGGGGTAGAGCGGGCCCCATTGCCTGTTATGCCCCCCATAGTTAACAGTTTTTATTTTTTGAACAAATGAAAAACATTCTAATAAAAAAATTAATTTTACTGGGATAAGAACAACAAGATTTTTCCCCGGGCCTTATGTTTCTCCAGGCCCAGGGAAAAATTCCCAACTCCTCTCCCCTCTCAAAGGCCCCAATTACATAAAATAAGCAAAAAAAAATGCAAACAATAACTTCAAAAACAATATATGATGCATTTAATATCCAATTTATTTACATATATTATTAAGCAACACTGTTTAAACTTCACATTAAGTCAAACAAGTGAAGAAAGCGAGAAAAGTTTACTTATTTATTTCATATAAATTCCATAAACATCAAGCATAATTAAGTAAATCTAAACGTTGTATCAATTATAAACATTACACGAATTAGCTCTATATATAACGACAAAAAAGCGTTTATAACACCAGAAAAATGTGATGTAAACACCGTTAAACTATTTTTAGGTACGTCTTATACAACTTCCACTTGATTACATACTAAATTCCAAAATCGTGAATAACCAAGCATATAGGCCTAATAATGACAATCTACACACGGTTACCAGAAAAATCAAATCGTATTTAGGCCCTGGAACGATAACCGGGTAAATATTTAAGCTATCGATTAAATAAAATTATTTATTTACCACAATTACCTTTGAAATAACCAAAGAATGTGACAATCAAAATAACTTTATGCCATAACGCCTTCCTTTCCCATTAATTGCTAAATAACGCCCTCTAACGATAAATTTTTTAATCGCATTTTTCTTGGGGGAGTTGCCCGTTTATTCAAAATATATTATTTTAACGTCGATATTTTATTTAAAAATAATTAAACTATTAAAATAATATTATTTCATTTTAAAATAATATTTCTCAATAAAAAAGAAAGTTAAATAATTTTGTTGTGCAGGAATTAATTCGAAAAGTTTAGACTATAAATGAGTTATGTAATTAAAAAAAAAAAAACTGACGAGTGTGTCTAAATACATATATTTTAAAAAATAAATTAACATTAATTTAATAATTAAGTTTTTAATCATTTTATTTATTTATAGAAGCGATATTTATGTAATACGTCATAATAAAATTTACGCAATACAATAAATAAACGTATCGACGACGAATGGTGGCGCTTTTTAAATTTAAAACTTAATTGTTTTAATTAATAGTATTTAAAATTTAATTATAATTAACATCGTTTGCTTGACTTATCGGATGAATATCTACGTTAAAAAATTTTTTTACGATAATTTACTACAGAATTAGTTTTATAAAACTCGTTTTACTAAATATAAACTTTTTAAAATGAAATTCGCGTGTTTAAATAAAATTAACTTGGTTAATGGCGTAGTTTGCCACACGCCGTCCAGACGTTACATCACTCGACGGTAACGAGAAAAAACAAACAAATAAATAAAAAAAAGTCTTCAAATGGCCGAACGATCGAAAATGACGGATTCTACAATGAAAGAGGATTGTTTTTCTTGTAAGTTGGTTGGCGGCGTGGGACTTTTGACTGGTGGAAGTTACGTTTTGTATAATACTAAATATGCTAAGAGTTCTGTAGGAAAAACGTTGAGTTTAATTTTTGGATTTGGTAAGGCTGCCACTAATTGTAATTAAAATTTTTTTTTCATTATATCCTGTTAAACTAACTTATAAGATTGATTTTTGTTTGCTCCGGTGAGAATTTTTTATCCTTGTCCTGGTATTTTATTCTACGGTTTGCTTTTCCTCGAAGGAAAATAAAAATGTATGCGTATTGTTTGGTCGGGTGTTGGCGTCCTGTTCTTGTTAAGTTACGGCAATGCAATGCTCGAGTGATCTGCCTAGGGAGAATGCCTTCCGGGAGGTCTTTTTAACGGTAACCTGTTCCTATTCGGGCATTTTTACGGATGTGAAGGAAACCTGGAAAACTTTCTCCCGGTCTGGTGCCGACCCGCAACCGAACTCCCGGTGTTTGGGGAACAGAACCACTTGAAATTATAGCCCCGTGTTAACCCGGAGTTGTCCCTGAAGGAGTAATTCGGTCGGTTTTTGTGGGTAAACTGGCTAAATCGAAGTGGTGGGAATCTGCTGGCAACAGTACTTCTCTTGCTCGATTAGACTTTGTTGGTTATAGAAGCTATTTTATATTTTGTAACCGATCCTATACGCTAGTCGTCTTGTATGTACATTGTCTACCTGTCTTCCAAACTTTATAATTATTTTAAATCTACTAATTACTAGGTGCAGTTTGGACCGGGAAATGTGTGCCGATAAAACGGTCTAATCTGTTTTTACAGATTTGCATGACTTGCCTCGTAAAATCTTGATTTTTGTGTTGATTAGTGACTATTTGCATAATTTTCAGTTTTTTAAGCTTATTTAATATTATATATTGAAAATAGAAAGAATATATTAATAACTAAATTTTGCAACAAATAATAATTTTGGCAAAAACTTAATAATTTCAATGTTTTTGCAGCTTTGTTATAAATCCTAGTATAATCACTACATTAATAACAATTGTATGAAATAAGTTAGGTGAAGCTAGTTTACGGTAAATACAGTTGACAGTCCTTGTTACGTCACAAATGTAGGGAGACGCCAAATGAGTGATGTATCAGATGGTGAAATGTATCTATCCATTATTGGCTAATGGGCTTTTATATTTGGAAGACAAAAAAATAAACAGAACATTATATCCAAATGAGTTATAAAATGAGGGATTATTGTACAACAATATAATTTCTGAAGTACATAATTAGAGATATAACTTTAATTTCTTTCAGATTATCAATAGATTGTTTTTATTTCTTGCTTATGGAATAGTGACAAAATTTAACATTTATGCAAAAAGCAAATTGTTTCTTTGTATATGGCAAATAGTAAAGAATCATTATTTATATACATAAATGCAAGTACGAGGTGCAGTCAAAAAGTTCCGAGACCAGTGACGTGGTGCTGCAATCAGCCACGTGCCGAACTTGCATGAGCTAGGATATATAATAGACGTTGTTATTTAGCTTCCTGCCTAATTTTGTGCCATTATCATATGTAGTTTTTATTTCTTGCTATTTAGATTAGATCCGTGTTCTTGTTGATTTGCAATTTTCATTGCTTTGTAAAGTGAATTTTTTTAAGAAATAGCATGCATGTGTGAAATTTTGTTCCAAACTTGGCAAGACTATAGGAGACGAAATATGCATTTACAGCTATGATGACCCCAAGATCAAACAACAATCGACTTTGTGGAAAAAACCATGGCTCACCCAGACCAAAGAAAGCATGTCGAGTGAGGTTCAATCACAAGAGTATACTCAATTTTTTTTCTGTAGAGAGAGAATTATTCTTAGAAAATTCATTCCACAAAGTCAAACTGTGAATCAAAATTTTTATATGGATGTTTTGAGGCTCACTGTGAAAATATCAGACAAAAAAGACTGGACCTTTAGAAAGCTCTGAACTTGTTGCATCATGACAACATCCCCACTCACACAGCTATTGCTATTCAACAGTTTCTCACTAAAAATAAAATTGCCATGGTTCTTTACCCTCCTTATTCACCAGACTTTGCACTGTATGACTTTTTTCTATTTCCACAGCTGATTTTTCAGCTGTGGAAATAGAAAAATGCTGAAAGGACAATGATTTGAGAACATTGATGACATTCAGACAGAATTACAGCAAGTGCTTAACAATGTCACAAAAAAAAGAGTTCCAGGAATGTTTTGAAAACTGGGCAAAGTGCTGGAATATATGTAGAGCTGCAGAAGGATACTTATTTTTAAGGCAAAACTCTCAATATATTAATGTGTATATCAGACAATTTTTATTGAACCAGTCCCAGAACTTTTTGACTGCATCTCATATAACAAAGTCTCAAATTATTTTGTTGTTTCTAAATTATTTGTAATTATTATGTAAATCCATAATTATAAATAAATATTGGGACCAGGACTTCCAAGCATTTGTATGGGGCCAAGTGAGCCCCTTTTTAAATTTTTTAAAATAAATATGTAGAATGCTTTATTAATAAGAAGTAGTCTTAAAGATTTTTTTTTTATTAGTAAAAATAACATAAATTTATAGGAGTAGGTCCACTATAGACACTTAAGTTTTCTCCAGGTCTGGGGAGAAATTCCGAGCTCTCTCCCTCCCTCAACAGCTCTGAGACCTTCAGTCAGTGCCTATCTCAGGTTTTAGGACCTGAGATAGGCACATCATACCATTTACATCCAACTGGGGACACATTTCAGAATTAGTTTAAATGGGTTCTAAAACTGATTGAACTTTGGTTATTTTTAAAAATTTATTTATTTATGGTCTATAAATTGGTTATTTTATGTTGATGTGTTAATAAAATTGCTCTATTCAAAGATCAATTCTACAACCTTGCCACCTAACCCAAGCATTTGCTGAGAGAATTCTTTATTCACAAGCATTTTCAACCTACTACCATAGACTATCCCATTTTAGAACTGATCCTTCCAGTGGTTTTATCCACCCAGCCATTGGGGGCTTCAGGATATTTATTTCAAACAAAAATCCTATGATAGCTTTGGTTTTAGGTATTTAATTATCAGTGATTTAATGATTTTGTTTATTTGAAGTTTCTGCAGCTCATTATCTTGAAAACCATGACAAAGAAGCTTAAATATGCCCATTAAATAGGCCATATGATACGTATGATATATGATATTTTACAATTGCTAAAATAGTAGTATTTTTAGTATTAAAATTATGAATTTATTCATGTTTTTAGTGCATACACTGAACATGATGTTGGGATATTGATCATAAATCTTAAAATAGAGTATATCAAATGTAATTTTTTTAATCAATTTAAATTACAGTAGTCACGTAACAGTTGATTCTTTTTTTATATATCCTTAATAATTTGACAACATAATAAATGAAAAATTTTATTTGCTTAATTAAGCATTAAATTCCAAAACATTGTTTTAAACTTCATATCAATAAATCAAGCTATTGGATTTTTCCAGACAGTTTTAATGTTAATATTTCAATTAATTTATAAATAATTTAATCTAGAGGTGATATCATAAATCAGCGGTGCATCCAGAGTAGGGGGACCATGGGGGTTCTGACACCCTCCAAAGAAAAAGAATAAAAAAACTAGAACTATCATAGATATTTTAATTAAAATTAATTAATTTAGTAATACCTAGAGAAAATATTAATTTAGAGCAAGATTTGAATCTACAACTTCTGTAAATCAAACGGATTATCAAGTTATGTGATCTGGATTCCAAATCAGTCTGATTGATCTCTAGATATATAGAGTACTTATGTATTTTTATTTTAAATTGTTTGATTAATACAATTATTCTTAGAATTTAACATTCATTACTTACCAGTTTTAATCTTTCATTAAAATAATATGAATTAAGAAATGAACTTAATAAGGTCTCTGATTACAAGTAATTGTCCTTTGAAGCCTTATAAATGTTGTTTTAGATTAGGAAAAATAATTTAATACAACTTACAGAAACCTTAAAATTTATTCTTTGGAATACATAGAAATTTTTTACAATTAAAAATCTTTAAAGTTTAAATTGCAAGTTTTAAAGTAATACTTTAAATAATTGATAATTAAATGTTGAGTTAAATTTCTGTTGGATTTTTAATTTTAAATCTTGAAATGCTATGTTAATGTTTACATATGCTATTGCTAAATTTTGAAAACAAGAAAGACTGCCAAAGTATACAATTTTGATTACACAACTACATCTTAA